AAAGCTGATGTAGAGGGATTATTTATATGGAATAAAAGTCGTAATGAGGGAAAAGCTCCAGTTTCTTCACATCTCTCAGTCCCGCCCATCGAGTTTTCTGCCCTGAATCAGTAATCCCTGCCTTTTAGAGCAGCAGCTCCGATTCAGACCGCTCCCCCCTTAGGGAAGGGCCTAATCCACCCCAGGAGCTCCCAACCTGCACTTCTCCTTGCAGGCAGATGCGATGATGGCAGCTTGCAGAGTGCAGAGTCATCTGCCTGCAGAGGCACCTGATTGCTCCCAGCAGCAGTGGGGAGCTCAGGGATGTGGTGGAAGTCATTCCCCCTCTTCCAGACAACAGGCAAGCGGCAGCACCGCACCCAGAACACCTTGTTCTTTGCAGCAGATGAACGCTTGCTGCTGGACACCCCTCTGCTTGGCACAATTCAGCATCAGGTTGAGCGCAGCAGCTCTGCAGCGGATGCTCCTATCAAAATGGGTTTCAATACCAGCGAAATCAACTCTTGTGTAACGAGAGCCATTTAAAAACCCTCAAGCCAAGGACAAAGAACACATCCGGATAAAGTTGGAGATGATACTTCAGTTTCCAAAGCTGTACCAAGACAATCACTGCAGGAGGCAACCACACAAGAGCTTCTCAGCGGTGCCAGCCCTGTCTCAGCAGTCTCATCCCTCCAGCAGCAGACCACAGGCAGGCCCTATACAGGGCCTTTCTGGAAGCAGAAAGAACAGCAGCATGCCCTGCTTTCCACACCAGCTCCCCTCCAGCTCAGGTGGTTGCTAATGGCCCAGGAGCCTGATCTAAACCGGCATTTAGTCAGGAATGTCTGTATTTAAAGCACACGGTACAGGAGTTGGTGCTTTTTATGTTGGGTGAAAGCTTCCGAAGTCAGTGAGAGGCACAGTTCCAGGTGAAGTTCCAGGTGTTGCCTGCTGCCTTCACTGTCCAGCGACTGGTGCAGAGCTCATGCACGGGAATGCCGCAGCCGTTCCCGGCTCACACCGGCTTAGTGCAGCGACCCCAGAGCAGCCCAGCTCTGCGCTCTGCCCAGCGCACAGCCCAGCATCACCTTGATGCTCCAGCTCAGGTACGACTGTTTCTCACCCCTTTCCCCTCTGCACACACTTGGTACCTGCAGGACTCAGGCAGGCATCCCCCCCACACCCCTGTGCATGACCCTTCCACAGCAGCCCTGAGACGAGCTTTGACTCCTCTGAAGAGATCCCTGATGCCCAGAAGCAGCCATTGGTGGTCACCACCACCACACCAAGAGGCTGCATCAAAGCCACACTCACAAATCAAGCCAAGAGTAAAGATACCACCTCATTCCTTGTCAGAAAGAGCCCAGCCCCAGGATTCCAGGATGAAGAGGGGTCGCACAACATCAGGGCAACCCACGCGAGAACGTGCATGGGGAAAAGGTGGCTTTTAGAAGCTGAAAGCAGGAGCCAGCTGCTGGAGTGCATTACATGCTCCAGTAACTTTTCCAGCTATTTCCCTTCCTTCTGATCCCTCTGCACGTGAGGTACACCACATGCATTCACTGAGCTCAGTGCGACAAGACCAGCGTGTGCAGGCAGAGGGCAAGTGGTGTGTGTCAGTAAATAGGTGTAAGCCCAGAGGCACCTACATGAAAGAACCAAGGTTTCTCTGATCCAGGTACACCTTTGACTGGACATCAGTTAAGTCCTCACCTTATTCCTTTTAGGGAATGCTTCCCATGGACAGAGCTTGCAGCTCAAATCCTCTTGTCAGGATCTATAAGGCAGAAGCTCTTCCCTGTGAGGGTGCTGAGGCACTGGCACAGGGTGCCCAGAGAAGCTGTGGCTTCCCCATCCCTGGCAGTGTTCAAGGCCAGGTTGGACACAGGGCTTGGAGCAAGCTGCTCCGGTGGTAGGGGTCCCTGCCCATGGCAGGGGTTGGAGCTGGAGGAGCTTTGGGATCCCTTCCCTCTCAAATAAGGCTGGAATTCTATGATCTAAGCAGAGGCCACATTACACAGGGCTGGAGGGTCACCCTTGTCATGAGAGCTGGACAAGGCAGCATCAGCACCAAGCTGCTCACAAGAAGGAGGAATTGGAATTCCTCCCCAAGACTCTCCTCAGCCAGAAAGGAGAAGCAGAACATGACCTGGTCCTCTCTCCATCCTCTCAAGTGGTTACCGTGATTAGGAGTGGAAAACTCAAAGCTGATGTACATCGACTTCTGGACCCCAGGCCCTAACTGATACAGGGACTCAAAGCTTGGGGGGAAACTTGGCATCGCAGAATTGTGAGCATGTTTTATCAGTAAAAAACTGCTATAAAAAGATAGAAGCACTATGCCACTATTCCAGCTCTGTTCTTACAATGATCATGCTTTTCTGGGAGCATCCCACAGCTGGAAGGTTTGAGACGCAAAGGCAAGGGCCTAAGATACTGCACTCACAACCTCCTCACCACCAGCTCCAAGGAAGGAGTTTTCCCTGCCCATGGCAGGGGGGTTGGAACTGGATGATCTTAAGGTCCTTTCCAACCCTAACTATTCTATGGTTCTATGAAGGAACATTAGGAATCGTGGTTACAGTGATTTCTATCTAGGAAGCAACACAACATCCTGCCTGATGCAATGACACTAAGCGAACTGAGTTGTCTTCCTGAGGAGCAATGAAGAGGAAGGCTGAACTGGAGCTGAAGTAACAGGAGCAAACAAAGTCTGCCTCTTAAACCTCAGGTTTACCCGAGGCCGGGGACCGCACCATTTCAGGGCACTAAAAGACGATGTTCAGATGCAGATGACAGCATCATAGTGCCTAACGTGACAGCCCGAGGTGACAATCCAGCCGTTACCTGTTGCAGCCAACCTACTGTCCAAGGAATCCCTGAATTTTAAAGCCAGTTACACCTCAAACAGTCCAGATGAGCTAGTTTAGTTACCAGAAGTGTTTGCAGAGTGCACGTGGTCACTGATTTCCTGTGGTCTGCCACAAAGCCAGTAACAAGCACAGGGACTGGCTTCTCACAGGCAGGCATCAGTATCTCAGAGGGAACATCTTCCTCTGGAGGACTGGGATTCCTGGCTAGGGAAGGGATGTACAAGGGATTTTAGCTGCGGATGGAGCTCCGCAAGGGCTCTGGAAAACAAGGCGCTCACATCACAGTGAGGCCCAGCAGCCCACGACCCTTCTGCATCTTTACAAGCTGAAGTTTCCCCTTCCTGGCACACTCAGTACCGCAGCAGCGCGGTGCCAGGATGCTCCACAGCCAGCTGTGACAGGTACAGCCACAGAAGGGTTTCATGTCAGCCTCAGTGGAAGCAGAGGAGAAGATGCAGCAGCAGAGCCTGGGAACTCCTCAAGCCTGCGCGCTCCTACAGGACTGAAGACAGCCACAACCCTCTTCCGATGGGCTCATCAGCTATTTTTAGCAGCAGAAAGGGAGGCGACCATCAGCCGCGGGTCTGTTCCCTTGGACAACTCGGTCACTGTCCCAGGGAGCCTCTGCCACCAAACCCCCAGCTCAGGCAAGGAGCTTGAGGCTGCTGCTGCTCCCAAAGATGAGACGTCTCGCCGCAGTTACATGAGAGGTTGGAAGAGGGCCACGCAGCCCATTTAATTCAATTCACTTCCTCTCCCATCTGCTCCACGCAGCCATGCTCTATTAGTCTTCTGAGAGCAATTGTATTGACAGTGACAAATGCACACCAGCACACACGGGATGTGCTACCAAAGCCACCGTGGGCTCACCCGGTCTGAGCTGAGGCCAGGGTCACAGAAATACCTGCAACTCCTCCTGGCTTCTATTTATCCTCAAAGCTTTTAGGAGTGAAACTCCCTCCCAGAGACACTGCCCAACTGGTTCTGCATTTAGTACCAGAGCCAAGACACAGCCTAAACTCAGCTGGCACCAAACAGTGAGCCTGGTTTCTCTTACTCATTCCTCCCTCAGAGAGCTGCAGGACTCTCCCCCTACAAGCAGAGGTGTACACTGCGGACAGCAAGAGCACCTACTGCAGGTACGTGGCAGCCCCATGAGCTGCAGGCAGATCCACCAAGAGCACAAAATCGCCCACTGCTACACAACAGACACCACCAGCTTTCCTCTGCACTGCATTGAGAACACACAGGATCCCGTGTGCTCTCCAGACCACTGGAAAAGAGGGTGGAAGCTCACATCCAAACCACCCTCTCCTTTCTCCTAACTTCCTTCTGGGAGCCTGCTCCTGGTTTGTACCTTTAACAGAGGCTACGCTCAGCTGATGACACAAGCTTCACATGCCACCACCAGTCCAAAGCAGCTGATTTAGCTATGAAACACCTATTCCCCCCCACCTTTAAACAAGTCAAGGCTGTGTGTTACAATACGTTCATGATGCGCACCACTGAAGCAGGCACACTGTGTCAGAGCACATTTTATCCCTCAGCAGGGGCAATCTGACCCTCCCAGGGTCATTTCACCAGGACAGAACAGCCCAGCAGCCTCCCAGTTAAGGCGTTCAACCGAAAGCATCAACCTGACAAGCAGCTGCTCAAGAGGACACAAGGCTTATGGCTCCTAGCTCAGCGCCTGCAGCCCACAGCCACCAAAGGCCAGGTCTTTGCTACACAGAACATCTCTGAAGGCTCCAAGGGACAAGAACACTGAGCTGGGAGCAGTCTCCATGGGTCACATCAGGGCTGGCATGGATGCACCTGTAGCACCAGCCCCAAGAGGCCACCAAGGATGGCCTGTGAGCTCTGCCGTCCCTCATGGGCAGGAGCAGAGGGCAACAAGCCACGAGCACCACACACCATCAGCACCAGCACTTCACCTGCTTGTCCCCAGAGCTCAAACCTCCCTAGTGCTTAGTGACTACCATCGCCAGGAGTTCAGCACGTACGGAGGCTTCTCCAGCATCACCTACGGAGACTAACCAACATTAACCATCACCATCAGACCCGTTACAGTGACCAAACCGTTTCTGCTACCCAGCGGGCCCAGCTCATCCCCCCAGCCCCGCAAACATACTGCCTTACAGAGACTTTCATATTGGGAAAATACTTTAATATAGTAAACAAGTCAATTTACCTGCCACATGGTTTTAAATAAGTTTATGCTCGTTGTTAAACAAAACGGGGGTTACTCAAACAATGGGTTACAGCCTCTAAAGTCGCATTGTTCCCAGCTGATCCCGTCAACAGCGAGGAGCTCCGGACCCCGAGATCCCTTCCTAGGTAACAGACGGGCATAAATAACGCAGGAATTCGATGCGGGTTCCACGGGAGACGCTAGCCCTGGTGAGGGGAAAACCGAAGCCACAGAATTCCCTGCTGAGGAAAAACGGGGGGGGAAGGAGATACCGCAGTCCGCCCGGTGCGCACAGTCCCGGCCCGAGCTCTTCGGGGCTCCTCCGCCACGGGGGTCCCGGTGCCGCCCGCCACCGCCGGCCTCCAGCCCCGTCCGCCCGGCCTGGCCGAGCCCTGCCCCGCCTCAGGGGCCGCCCGCAGCGCCCGCCTCGGCCCCGGGCGGCGGCGGCGGCGACGCGTCCGGACGCTCCGAGTCCATGTCCGTGGGGCCGGGGCCGGGTGCGGGTCTCGGCGGCGGCGCGTCCCGCGGGGGGCCGGGCGCGGGGCTGGCGGCGGGGCCCGGCGGCGCGGCGCGGGGCTGCGAGGCGGTGGCGGCGGCGGGGCCGGAGCCGCCGCGCACCGGCTGCCAGATGAGGCTGTAGTAGACGGCGAGGACGATGGCGGCCAGCGACACGGAGAGGACGTAGGCCAGCACGGTGGCCAGGCGCACCCACTTCTTGTTGGTCTTGGCCGCCATGCGCGCCTTCTTCTCGCCGGTGTAAGTGGCGGGCTTGCCCCGCTCCGCCCCCGCCTCCTTGTCCTTCATGGGGGCCGGGGCCCGGCCCTTGGCCCGCTGCTCCACCGAGCCCTCCGTGCTGCGGCCCGGCTGCGGGCCCGGCTCCGCGCCGCCGCCGCCGCCGCCTCAGGACATGCCGCCAGCGAGCGCCTCGTGCCGCGGGGCGGCGCCGAGCGAGAGGGGCGACCCCGCGCATGCGCGGCGCGGGGGCCGCTCCTGAGGGGGCGCGCGGGGGCCGTGAGGGGCCGCGATGGCGCCGGGTGCCGGGTGCCGGGGCCGGGAGCGCCGCGCTGGGCACGGGGCTGGCGGCCCCCCAGGGGCCTCCCTGGCGCCGCGGGGCGGGAGGCGGAGGGGAAGGCTCCCGGAGGAGGGGTCGGCGCTGTCCCCGCTGCTCCTGGGCCTCGCCTCTGTCGTCGGCCGTGCCGGAAACGCCCGTGGAGCTCGGGGGTGCCCTCGCAAAACAAAGGGTTTAATTCCCCTCACATCGGGCCGATCCCGACCTCCCTGAAGCAGCCTTTAGGGAAGGGGGTGATGTGATTCCCCGTGTGCGAGTGTCCCCCGAGGGCACTGCATCTAACACAGCAAACATCGAAAAGGCTGCTCCAGAGGCTGGCTTAGCCTCCGCTTGCGGTGCAAGGTGTTTCCTTTGGAGAGCGGTTTAGTGTCTCCGTGTACAGCCGTTTTCTCCTTCCCTTCCATCTCAGGTGTGCTGCAGCAGGAAGCCTCTCGTAAGCAAGGAGCTGCAGTTGAGGAGGCCCGGAGCAGTGCAGGAATGACCGTCACCCGCACGGGCGGCAGAGGAAGTGAGTGATGGAGGCCTCAGTGACCCTCTGGTTTGGCTCTCAATAGCGGGAAGAATGTGGGAGAGAAGGGGGAAAAGCTCTGAGATTTGCAGGAGGATTTATGGAGCTTGCAGCTCTGAGGGGGAATAAAATGGAGTGACTCTGGAAGAGCCGTAGCTCTTGGGAAAGGTGGATTGCGGTGGCTGAAGGCTCCAGGGCTGCTGGATGCTGTGGCACAGCAGGGCGCTCTCCTCTGCAAGGGGCTATGAGGAGCTCCTGGCTGGTTGTTCCTCCAAGGGCAGAGGAATGTGGGGGACTAAGGGCAGCCGTTCCCATGTGGGATGTTAGGAACCCAGATCTGCTCTTGCCTGGAGGGAAGGGCTGAAGGGTGCGACATTGTGGTGCCAGCCGCTGTTGGAGGTGCTCTGGATTTTGGCCTCAGCACAAGCCTCATCTATAGGTTCATCATGCTTATATATGTATATAGTGACTAAGCCTCATCTATAGGTTCATCATGCTTATATATGTATATAGTGACTAAACCTCATCTATAGGTTCATCATGCTTATATATGTATATAGTGAATGCATCCCTTTGTGATGCTGTGGCCAACACTGGTAAGGGTAGCAGGGATTTCATTGCTTCTTTAAGGCGGGGGGGAGGGATTATTTTCCACAGTAGAGAAATTGGACTTAAGGGTCGTTCCCCATCCAAATGATTGTGAGCTACAGGCAATGCCATGCTCTGTCCTCCTGAAATACTCCTTTTTCATGAAACATTGCTGTGACTGTGTATCATGGAAGTATTTGTTAGTAGGTATTCCCACCTTCCTGTGCCCCCCCCTTAAATCTCTACCCTCATTAATTACAGCTGACTGCATTCTTGCTGGAGTCAGGTTTCACGCCTCTGAACAGCATGAGCTGCCCCTTATCCCTTGGCCTGATGAATTGCAGGTGACTGCACTCATATTGAAGTCGGATTTCACACACCTGAGCAGCGTGAGCAGATGGCATCCCACTGACAAAGCCTTCCTGAGTCAGAGGAAGGCATTTTGTGTGGTGGTCTAGGGATTCTCTACCCAAATTCCCTTGGGCGGTACATGTGTGAGTGAAGTGGTATGTGTGGATTTGTAGCAATTCCAGCAAAATGGATTTCCTGCTGATATTCCAGGTCTGCAGTCATATTCTCGCTGGCCTTGGTTTTGCTGCCAGGGCAGGCAGAGCCTTGCTGGCTGCTGCGTGTCTGCTCTCAGCTCTGCCTCCGATCGTCTCTGCAGAGATGGGCTCCTTGCAGACCCTTATGCTGTTTGTGCTCTCTGATGTCGCCCCTGGTACGATTTATCATGGTCTGTGGTTGAAGGATGATGAATTCCTGCCTCCCACAAACCCTTCCCTGTGCTCTTCCCCAATGCCCGTTCTGGGATTTTGGGGGATTGACATGTACAGGCAGTTCCTCTGGGGTTGAATGAGGTCTTGACAGTTTCTGCCTGGTGCTGTGTGTCCATGCTGGTTTCCCACATTTAAAGTCTGTGCTTGGGAATGCTGTGTCCTTTATTGCTGAACTCTACCCTGTTGTAGTGTCTAGAAAGTGGCAGACAGAATGAGAGCTCTGGTGCTGCTCGGTGTTCACATGGGTGTTATGAGGAGTTTGATAAAGGGTGTTTAAAAGAGTCAGCAAGTCAATACAGGAAATAGGCACGGAAGGGAACGGGAGCTGATAGGGATCAATATGATAAAAAGCCATTATAGCTGAAGATCTCAGTCCTGTGTTCCCCAAATTAGTTTCCCCTCTCCTGGGAAGGAAACCGATCCTTCTTAATCTCTGCTGCTCTTTCATGGTGCTGCCTTTATCTCTGCTCACCAAAGCGTTGTTGATAAATCCAACAGTTCATAGCACTCCTTTGCACCAGTGGAGTCCTGGCAGTCTGGGGGGACTGAGGGCTTGCACTGGAGGTGTAGAAATGGTCCCAGCAAAGGTAGTGAGTGTGGTCTGGCTGAGAGCCCACTACACCTCGTGCCATTTGAACTCTAGGAGCAGCTAAAGATGCTCCAGCTACAAAATGTGGTAGTAGCTGATTGCACAAGTTCCTCTCCTTCCTTCCTTCGCAGGTCTCTTGCTCCCTCCCCTTTAATCCTCACCACTACAGATCTGTAGCTGTCAAAACTGAACTGTGCTATTCTAGAGACATTCTTCCTTCATCTTCATCTCCCTATTGCACTTACTAATTGCTTATTTGGGCTGCAGTGTGCCTCCTGGCTGTGGTGTAGACTTACCCTTTGTAGAAGACAATTCTGTGGTGGTATTAAAGACATTCAGAGTCTTCAGACAAGACTCATTAACTGCTAAGTCTTGTTGGCTTTTGCTAAAGGGAGGTGTAAGCTTTTCTTTCTACTGTGATCAAGCAGATGGGTGTTTCTCTGCAGGTCCTTTTGTTCACGTGCAGGCAGCTGCCAGAGCATGTGTGACTTCTGTTCCTAAACTTAGTGCTTTGCTAACAACCACCCATAGAGGCAAATGAGAGCCAGGAAACCAGAGCTGCAGTAAGGATATTTTCTTTGTCATCTGGGTTTTAGTAGAAATACCAAGCTGTGTGTTGGGTAGGCTCCTGTGGTGCAGAAATAGAGCTCTGGGGTGCAGAGCTCAGAGGTCTTGTAGAGCAACTGAATGCATCACACACTAAACAGAGCTTGCAACTGGGCCTCTTGGAGACTCCATTCCTAAAGAACACAAAGGAGATAGCTCACCTGAGACAAACGCAGTTGAGGACACAGGATGCGCCACAGGCCTGCCAGCAAAGGGGAGCTGTATAGCCCTTTAACATCTAGCCTTCCTCCCACAGTTGTCCAAACACTGTACTCTTCAGGGTCCTATTGTTAATAAACTTTGGCTTGAAGGTCTGCTAGAAAGCTTATGAGCCTGCTAGTTCCTGCCTTACCCCTGTGTGTAGCTGAAAACCCAAGTGGTGAGGCAGATTGTTGAAGATTGGGTGTTCTGCCCACTGACAACAGCACTGCTTGAATTCTGCTGTTACCTGTTGCAGCGGGATGTTTGCTTGCTCTCCAAGGGCCCCTGAAGGATGGAGCTAAATAAACCTGTGTTATTGATTTCCCATGTTTGGAGTGAGTGGAGAGCATCCAGTGCTTCAGGACAGAGAAGACTTAATTAAAAGATTATTGGCCTAAGACATTACCTCTGTGCAGCCCTTGCTTCTCGGAGTGAGATGCTGGATTGCATTGCATTGCCTGGGAGGTGGCCAAGTCCCTCCTGTTTGATCCTCCTGAGGCTCTCTGGACTGCTGTCTGTCAGAGCTGCCATGTCACAGCTCATCCTGCCCTGGGATGGGGTGGGCTGGATGGATTCCCTCAGTCCCATTGCCCCCCCTGCTGTGATTCAGCAAAGGCCTTTCCTTCCTGTGCCCTGTCATTAGGAGGCAATTCCATGTGACACTCTACAAATGAGCAGGGCATTCCACGAGGTGTGTGGTTTGATTACTCCACTTGGGTTAGTCTGTGTAACTCTCAAGCTCATAACTCACTGCCATGGTGCCCTACAGTGCCTTGTCTGAACCCTGGTTTTTGTTCTTGGTGGCTGCCTCCAGCAGCGTGACCTCTGTGGGCAGCTTATGGACTTTATAAAGAATTGTAAGTTCTTTATTAGCTGTGTGTTGCTTTCTGACCTTTTATAGTGTCTCCTTGGTGCTGGGGAGCGGGGAGCTGGATGGGTTCTTTCCACCTGCCTCCTAATGTTCAAAGGGTGGAATAGGTACTATGAAATTCATCTCTCTCTCTCTCTTGGCTGAAGTCCTTGAGCTTTGCTAGGCTGGAGTCTTCTATCACAGAGGATGTCTCTGCTCTCAACAGGGGACGGTCTCTCGTGCTCTCCTGTCTGCTTTCCTAAAGGAAATATGCCTTATTCCACACTGTTGTTCTGGTCTCCTGTTTGGAGCCTGAGGGAAGCGGATTCTGTTCTTCCCTGGCACTTCCCTCTTACGCTTTGCAGTCTTCTCTGTCATACGTGGGAAGGTGCTGTCTCTCTTGTTAATCCAGTAACAGATGGGGGAGGTTGGGGATGTTCTTTTAATTCCTTCAGCTTCTGACTTGTAGATGGTAGTGAAGTTTGCACAACCCACTGTCTTGCGCTGACTTGGAAAGTGATCTGCAGAGATTATGGGGTGGGTGGGGGAGACAGCAAAAGTGATGCTGAATTGGAGATGTAACAGCAAGGTCTGGTTCGCTCAGGACAGAGGCCTTGGGCAGAAAGCTTCTGATAGGGTGGTGCATCAGCTTCAATCTTTGTATCACCAGTTTGGTGAGGCTCATTTTGAGCCATCATCCTGTGAACCACCTGCATAGTATAA